AGAAGGCGAGACTAAGACCGCCCGACTGCGTTCCCTCACACAACAGGCGTTCGAGGATAGCCGAGGCAGGTACGACTTGGTCGTCGACATTGACATTTCGTAGTCGACATCAGGTCTGCTGCAATAACGTTGGACGTGGATGATTATAAAGAGCTCATTATTAAAAATCCCCGGCCATACCACACCTTCGTCCTCGTCTCCGCTCCTACTGCGGTATGCGACGTGTGTGGTCCTATTGGAGTGTCTTTTGAAAAGGCTGCTATCTCTCATTATATGGTGTGTTGGCCGAGGAGTGGTATTCGATTTTTATGGTAGTATTTTCAGGTCGACGATGAAGTCTTCTTCGTAAAACTAGATGCTTACAATCATCGAGGTTTTCAGAGGATCCACGGATTTCGATCAGTTCCACATCTGGTAGTACTACTACTACGTTGAATATATGTTCGCTCTCCTCAGCAGCTGAGCTCAGGAGTTTCCAAAGCTAATCATACAAATTCGGGTAGAAGTGTACGAAAACCAAGGAGAATTTTCCAACACTTGCTCCAAATTTTCAACATGTGTAGTTGGTTATGTGCATATTTACTCGTTGTATTAGTGTAACAGTAATTCGATAATAATAATCATTCGGATAATAATGGAGTTTCACCCGCGATATGGAAAACACTAGTGAAAAACATATTTCACGACTGCTGCATAGTATGAATATCGCGTTTTTCACGGAGTTTTACGCCACTCCACGTAAAACGGGTAGTCGTGAAACTCCAATAATACAAATGCGGGTAATAAGCAGTACATTCGCTAGGAAAAAACCGAAAATTATTTCCCACGTACACTTTCATAAAGGAAATTCTCCATTTTTCAGATTCATCTACACGAAGATTCCAAACTGAAACATAAGAAAGCTTCTCCTGAATACCGTGTTGCGAAGGAAGACACTTACCATCAAAAGGTGCTCGAACCTACCGTAGACGAGCTGCTGGAGTGGATGAATGCAAAAACTGGTGAACATGTTGCTGCATATGTGACCAGATATGAGAAATTTATGGTAATAATTTAGTATTAGTGGAGTTTCACCCGTTTAACGAGGAGTGGTGTGATACTCTATAAAAAATTGTTCTTCGCGAAGTGAAATGTGAAATATGTTTCGCACTAGTGTTTTTCATATCACGGGTGAAACTCCAATATTATCATTCTCATAATTTCTGTGAGATTAAGTGATATTAAATATCATGTATAGAGCTGTTGTTGTTGAATTCGCAGCCATACTCCTATGCAGGCTACTCTCTCTCTGGTGAAAAGATTGCTAATATATTAAAAATATACACTACACAGTGATATTGAATATTAATGGAGT